CCTGGAAAGGTAGCAGCTGGTTTATCCTCCACCACAGCTGCTTTTGAAACGAGAACGTGCGCGAGCGAATGCGCTGCGGGCAGTGACGTGGGGGATGGGCGTCAGAAGCTCGTTCACGAACAAACTTCTGTTTTCATTGGCTGTTAATTCTCGGGTCAGCCTGGATTTTTCTAAAGCCTGTAGTACCACCGGGAAAAGCAAGAGGACTCTTTTTTCCTCCATAGCTTACCTGTCTAATATCAATCTGTCAGGAGATAGTGACAGAATGAACAAATATGTAAAAAATACATTTTTAGAAAAGTTACATACTGCACCTTTAAAGCAATATAGTTTTGTTGTTATAACGAGAAAAATGTCTCCTTACACAAAGATGCAGCTCAACAATTATTTTGTCATGTGACAGACCTTATTTTTGTTTTCYACCCCCTGCTGTCGCCCTCTAGCACAAGAAATAAAAACTGCAACAGAACATGAACACCTTTAACCGGCCGGTGTTGTGCGAATWTCAGTTCCCCTCTGAAAATCTGTTCCCCCTAGTGGTCAACCTTRGAGMRTCACTGGTCCAGGCACAACGTCAGACCAGAGGGAGGCGCTTCCAACACAGGGGGAACAGATTTTCACAGGGGAACTGAAAATCGTACAACACCGGCATTAGGACCCTGAAGCAGCGGAAGACAGACCCTCTCCTCCTCCTTCATCCTCCATCAGAATGATGCTGCAGCTCGTCCCTCCAGCGGTAATCATGTGTTTCAGTGGGATCATCAGCGCCCGGCAGGACGAGTCCAGACTGACAGAGAGGCCTTATGTGGTCCTGCAGAAGCAGAACTTAGGTGAGACCCGTTGTGAGGCCTGCGGAGGCTCTGTTTGTGTTCAGGCCTGTTGCTCTGTAAACAGTGATGTGTTCATGTGTAGTTATCAGACTGAGGACAAAGGGCACATGATTTGTTTTCCTCTTTGTGTGCGTTTGTTTGTYTGTTAGCAAAATATCTCGARCCACAGGATGAATTTTAATGAAATTAATCATTTGATGTAAACAACTCAGGGGCAGCTCAATCAAAGATGGCCACCACAGCAACACAAACATGGTTCTAATTCAGCCAGTTTGACAGATATTAAGCTAAAATCTGGTGTGGTAGTAGCTGAGAGTTATCCTCAACACAACAGATTATGTAAGATTACATTTAGTAAACACCGGATTTCAGGTAAGGTTTGACCAAATAACTCTTGACTCTTCTCAGGGCAGTATGATTTGTCTAAAACAAAAGCATAAAGGGTGGCGAGCAATATGCAYTCCTTCAAGGAATAACAGGCCTTTATTTATTTCCTGTGTTCTTGTCTTCTCAGTCATGTTGGGGAGTGTCGGCGGTGTCCTGCTGCTGGTGATGATCATCATGGCTGTCTGCGTCTACAAACCTCTGTCCCGTCGCTGAAACAAGACCTGACCTGCAGATCTGAACCAGCACCAGACTGTCTGGAAGTCCTGCTGAAACACAATCACTGCTAAGAACTAGAGTTTAATTTGTTATCAGCCCGGGTCAAAGAAGAATCTTTGTTTTGATGGTATGAAGTCCTACAGCTGAGTCCAAGAGTCCGAGAAAGGGCTCAGCAAAACGTTGGGTTTGTACTTGTGGATGGCTTTCAAACCTGTTTTACTGTTGTTTCTTTAAGATGAGTTATTAGATATTACAGCTCAACCTGCCCCACATGAAAGCAGCAGAAGGTATAAAACTTCCTAGAGACTAACAGAAAGTTAAATTAAYCTGAGCTGTCAGACAGGACGAGTAATGTCTCTGCAGAGCTCAAACAGCTGGAAATAGATGAGACATCTGCACCTCACACGGGATGACTCAGATTTTCAGCTGTGTGTCTGTGAAATGTTCTGGCTTTCTTTAGCTGTTAGGGGTGTAATAAACTCGTCCTGATGCCACGATCCACAGCCCTGTTTGGAGTTTGGTACARAACAAAAGAAGCTGTTAGATGATGGAGCTTGAAGCTGATGTTATACTTTTATGTAAAGCCTTAAAGATTGCACAAAACATTTAAAAGATTCAACTTTTGGATCCTTCTGTTTATTTATATATGTGCTTATTTATTGTAAATTAACTTTTGTAATGATTTATTCAGAATTTATATCTGAAGGAAAGTCRGTCATTGACTTGCATTTTTTCTTTGTAAATATGATGCATGAATTTTCAGTGAAATCACAAAGTSAGGAAGTTGCTTTTAACTACATCAGTTTATCTTGATTTAAARTATGAAACAATCAATAATTAAAAAAACGTTGAAACATGAGATGAACGTTTCTCATATAAACAAAGTGCTGTAAGTCGATGCACTAAAATATTAAAAGTGGACAAAATAAAAGTCGTCATTGTTTTTATTCAAAATTTTGAATTGAATTAAGTATTTTTTCTGCGAAACCAATTAAAAGTTTTATTTATTATGAATACCAAATTTCTTCAGGATCATGTTTTGTGTTAGAAAATCACCCATTATTTCTCTACAAGCCTTTTTTTTTGTCAAAAAAATGACACGAACATCATGAGTGGTCTTTATGGAAATAAAGTGCTTTTATTTTAGAACTTTTTAAAAACAGCATTTTCAAACCTTTTTTTTAAATTACAACATATTAAAAATAACTTCTTTGCTCAAACGGTGCATTATATTAAAAAAAACTTGCCTTGTTTTTAACCTTAGCTAGCCTTGTGGTAGTCGACTGTTTGGCAACTTGGTCGTTACGGTTAGCTGTCGAGTCGAAGCCTCTAAAAGGTCACAGAAACACAGGAAGTGGTGGGCGGTCAGTGAATTAATCTATAGTGGTTAATTTGTTACTCTGAATCACTGTTATGAATGAAACATGAGTTTCTCTTTTTGTTGTTACAAAATCTTTTTTTAATATTTTTGTCAAATTTCCCTTCATAATCCTGTCACCACAGAGCTTATTCATGCCTCAAAAACTACCTCTAAGCATGCTTCATTCTACTGACTGATGGGATTTTTCTAGCAGGAGATTTCAAAATGTTGCTTGAAAAAATTGGCAAAATGTTTAGGAGCTTGAATAGGTCCTGCTACAGAAGCTTCTATGTTGTATGAACGATGTAAACCCTAAGGCAAACCTGTCTGCTACTGCATTTTTGTTGAACTGAGTCGCTCGGTGAAATTCTTACAAAAATATGCTTTGTTTTAGTATCACAAGTTGAGGGGCACCCTGTTTGCAGCACAGATCTGTTGCCATGCAAGCAGATTCAAAATATCCCTCGCAGCAACATGCTTTTTTTGTTTTCCTACCTTTTACATTCACAGAGTACATAAAACCATGTATTTTATAAATAAATATTTGGCTCAATGATCCCAACTTTCTGAATGTAAAATTTTGAATAGAGTGATATGCATAAGCAGTACCGTTCTGCACCATGAACATTCACCAGGCTACAATGGAAACAAAAACTGATAAATCAAAAATGATGGGAGTTTGTAGAAAGTTGGAACCCTGAGATTTTCAAAGAGTAAACTGCTCAACAGCAGTGACTCTGTAGGAAGACTTTGCTGATAAAACTGTTAAGTTAGGTTCTTTCAATCATGATTTTCTAAAATTTCAGTGCTGAAAATCTAAAAAAAATTATTTTAAATGCCACAGCTCCAAATCCTTACGAAGATACTTTGAATTTAACATTGTTGTTCATTCGTGAGTGCATCAAAAACATTTATCCCTCTTCCAAATGGCAATATGACAAATACACATGGATGCTACTGCGAGACAGAAYTGCAACAAGTTACATAAAAAATAACATTTCAAACATTGTGAGATTTAGTCAAGATAGACAGATTTCAAAATGGAAATATAGAAAAAGGAGGGCCTTATCAAACAGGCCTTATTTTACCTGCATGAGGTTAATTTGTTACAGAGAAACATCTGCGGTTGCATAGGTGGACAGAGAGGTTAGGAAGGAAATCTGAGGTGTGGTGGTTGCTTCTGGGATCTGACTAAAAAAAATAAAGATCCCTCTTTTTCCCTTTTTATTTTTCCGTAAGTGATAGCTGCAGTATCCTCTCCAGCTCCTCCTCCTCCTGCTTCCTCATCCTCTCCTCTTCCTCCTGAGCTTGAGCAGAGAGCTCCATGGCCAGGCGGAGGTCTGAATCGAGGCTGGGGGCAGGGCGGGAGGCAGGGCYGGGGACGTCTTCGTATTCCACCAGCACCCCCTCTGGGATGCTCCTAGAAGGACGATTACAGGACGATGAGCTCTGTGGCTTTCAGTGATGCCCTTCTGCTCACACTGAATCATGCAGTTCACCTAAAACTGGGCTCCTACCTGTYGTTTTGGCTAATTGGCACTATATTCGCAAATCCCTCATCCTCATCATTGCAGATGCCGTCCTAYAACCATTCAAATGCAACAGACACATGAGAGATGAGACGCAGAGAAAAATAAACACCTATTTGTGTGTGGAGGTACACTTGCTGGCCTGTCTGACCTGGCCCGGGCCTCTCTGAGAGTCCAGGAGGCTCTGGTGGATGGCGTACTGCAGAAGCTCCTCGTCGTTGTTTGGCACGCGGGCGTGGCGGCTGCCCCCTCTGCGGTGATAACTCGCAGGAACCTCGAACACTGAGGGGCACACCTGAAATGGAAGAGGAGCTGGCGGGGGAGGGGGGGGAGATCCAGACAAGATGTTTAGAAATCACACACACAGTTTGTATTTTAAAAAGGTACTCCTTGCGAACTATACATCATAACATATTGAACTATGTGAAATGCTGAAGCCTATAAAAGTTTATWCCAGCAGTTTTAATTCAGTAAACCACGTGGAAGCTTCAGTCACCTGACTGACCTATATGAGGCTGGCAGTAGGCTCGTATTAAGAAATAAACACAGTGGAAGTGGACAAGTTTTAATTTAAAGGGGCAATATTATGTGTTTCTCAGGCAT